GGGAGGGGGAGAGATAGAACTTTGGGCTTTAGGGAGACTGGCATTCTTGGCTCAAGTAGAAATACTGTTTGTTTGTTTGCTTATTTGGTTTACTCGTTTCTTTATCGTTTTAAAAAATTTATTGTCTTGGTTGAATGAGGAAGAGACGGTCCTATCAGAGACATACGTTAAACTAGGAGGTCCCTCCCCTTAAATAACCTAATAGTGTTGATAGGGGCGTTAAACCTATACCACTTCACCATTTTCACCAAATGAGGAAGAGGCTTTGATTAAGAAAACATCACAACCTGCCTTATTGAGTAAAATGACAGTCGTGTATAAACTGACTGTTTGTTGGTGGCGAAGTGACTTATCCCCCCCTCCCCCAACCCTTTTCTATACATGTCCAACCGTAAATCCATTGAGGAAGAATAGAGCCTGACTTTCAACACATTCTAGAAAGCTTTTGTTAGTGTAAAGACTTATATATAGAACGCCAGTCGTATAATCACTAGATAGCTTCCTAACTCGAGAATCAAACTAATGACATCTGATGGTGCAACAGCGAAGAACCTTACCATGACTCTAAAGATCTAGTGGTTAGGCTACCGGACTCGTAATCGTGAGGTTGCGGAGTCGGAGGTTCAAGCCACGGGTCCGACCTTGTGTACTTTGGAAAGGTACTTTAGACGAATTTTTCTTCACTTCACCCAGGTGGAAATGGGTTCCCGGCCATAGACAGTGAAAAATCTTGTCAGTATGTTAGTGTTTTTAGCGCCTATAAATGGCTGCTTGCACTGTATGCTTCCCTGGAAGTTGAGTTTGTTTCAGAATGCTCTCCGGTCTGCTGGGGTAATAATATAGATTATGAAGCGTATAGAGCTTGCCGTTGAGCGGGGATTTGCGCTATACAAATGCTATATACGAGTAGTATTATTATTAAGGTATGAAGATCACCAGAAGAGGGAACATATTTATAAAAAAAGATGAATAGTGTTGCGTAACCTTCTGGAATCGCAGTGTGCAAAAGTAGAGGCATGATGTGCTGTGTGACTGACTTGCTCTGTGGGTGAGGACGAAAATAGGCGCAACAATAGACGGCAGTGAGGAGGACGGTACGCCAAGGGAAATATAGGTGGGGGATCGTGGTGAAATCAGACGCTCGTCAAAATAACGATATCAGAGAAACTGGCAGTTTCCGCCAGTTCGGAAATGTTTATCTAATTTTTTTTGGCTTACCTCTTTTATGCCCATATAATTTTTATCGAGTTTTTATTTTTGGCTAACCTCCTTTATGCCCATATAAAAACACATTGCCAATCGAATTTTACTTTAAAAAGAACATTGATTAGGGACACAAAGTATGTTATTTTTCAGTTTTCAATGACTCTTAGCCATTGGAGTTGCCAAAACTTCGATGACTATTTGCTCACTTATTTCACCACTGAAACCAGGTGATCTCACTTCCTTCATTCGCATACGCCTCGACTTTGCTGATACAAAAACCCCCCAAAGAAGCTCAAACATAAGAAATGAACGACAGAAAAAAGACACAAAAGAAATAGGTCGTTTTGTTTATACAAGACACTGTGTGGAAGGAGAAATCCTTTGTGGCTCAAAACCAGACGTTGGAGCGATTACCAAGAGTGGTTACTGTGGGCTCTACTGTGAAGTGGTTACAGAACTTTCTTAATTAATTATCATCCAATGATAATAGGCTATTAATAATTTAACTATGATTATACATGTACCACTTTTCACAAAACTGGTAACATCGAGAAAATGAAGGGTAACCAAATCTGACGTACACATCAGAGCAAGGCGTCAAAGAAACCTACCTTTATACATTGCAGATGTGTTTACAACAAAAAACAACTCACTTAACAAATACGTAAAAAAACGAAAACTAAGATAAAAACAAAAGAGCAGCACCTCCTCCCTTCCCCCAACCCCCCTCC